ACCCAAGACACCACCCTTCCTTTCTTCTTTTCCGAAATGAATTCCAGTCATTCAATTGCTTTTACTTTTTTTTTTTAACCCCTCTTTGATCAGTCTTAGAGGAAGAAAATTTCCTAGCAAGCATTATCTTTCCCTGAAAGGAAATATTCCAGAAAGAAATTCAAAAGTCTTAAGGCATTAGCCAACCACTCATCTGGTTATTGACCTTGGGTTATGGAGGCTCCTGGACAGCGTCTGTGGAGATGGCTGCCTTTGTTGCCACATTCTTGGGACTTTCTAAGCTGCCTGACTCTCTAGGTGGTAAAGGTTGAGTACTTCTCTATTTAAATTGGCCTGGAAGCTGGAGAGCCAGGTCAGGTTGTGATGTTCACCAGAAGAATTCTTTCCCCTCCGAATCCAAGTTAACTCACTTCTAAGCAATTTACCCATAAGATATTATCAGCAAAAAAAGAATATTTTCTCCACAAGAATCACGCTGAAAAGTCATGTCCACAAATCCCAACTGAAGGCTTCCTTTGGGTTTAGAACAATGTGAAAGACCAATACAACAAGATTATACCATCCCTGTTCCTAGGGTGCTTTACCGTATTGTGTGGGATTCAAGCCTTTCAGAGAACAAAGGTGTTCTTAGAATGGAGACATTTCTGTTGTTGTTCCTGTTCATTCGATATAATAAAGGTGGGTGTGGTGGTACATCCCTTATAGTCTCAGCTACTCAGGAGGCTGAGGCAGGAGGATCACTTGAGCCCAAGAGTTCAAATCCAGCCTGGGCAAAATAGCAAGACCCCATCACTAAATAAATGAAATAAAATAATCAAATATACCAGGTTCTAAATCAAGATTTCTAGTATTTCAAAGAGAAGAAAAGTCATAAAGGATGAAGAGAACCAGGGAGGATGGCATTTTGGACTGGACATAGAACCTGAGTGTACAACTGGACATTCTGACCTGTGGGGAGGGCAGCAGCAGAGAGCTCCACCTCCAGAAGAAACAGCAGGGAGAGAGGATGTAGGTCAGTGGGGTAGGGCCAAAGAAAAGACCTTGAGGGTCAAAATCAAGCCTCTAGATGGACACACAACTGTAGATTCCAGAGCAAAATTACCACAAAAGCTCTCTAGAAAATAGAAGGCTGGGAATGGTGGCTCATGCCTGTAATCCTAATACTTTGGGAAGCTGACGTGGGAGGATCATTAGGACAAGACAGCAAGACCCCATCATTACAAAAACAAAAGAAAACCAGAATTAGCTGGGTGCAATGTTGTGTGCCTGTAGTCCTAGCTAAATGAGAGGCTGAGGTGGGAGGACCACTAGACCCTATGAGGCTGAGGCTGCAGTGAGCTGTGATTGCACCACTGCACTCCAGCCTGGGTGAAAGAGTGAGACACTGCCTCCCTCCCTCTCTCTCTCCCTCTCTCTCCCTCCCTCTCTCTCTCTCTCTCTCTCTCCCTCCCTCTCTCTCTCTCTCACACACACAAACAAAGGTAAATTCAGGGAGAGCTGTGTTATGTTTTATTATCTGCAAAATGGAGGTGGTGACTTTTACATAACTGCTATGTATATGTCTACTATGAAAAGAGAATAGAATGAAGTACTAATAGAAGCTACAGCATGGGCGAACTTTGAAAACATTATGCTAAGTGAAAGGGGCAGAGACAAGAGGCCACATATTATATGATTACTTTTATAAAAAATATCCAGAGCTGGCAAATCCAGAGACAGAAACCAGATTCGTGGTTGCCAGGGCAGTGGAGGAGAGGTTGGGGGTGAGTCTTTCAAGGCACAGGGTTTCCTTCAGGTTGATGAAAAAGTTCCAGAACTAGAAAGTGACGACAGTTGTGTAACATCGTGAATATACTTAATGCCACTACATTGTGTACTTTAAAATGGTTAAAATGGTAAATTTTATCTAATAGACATTTTACCACAATAAAAAGAGAGAGAGAACATAAAATAACAGTGTGACTATCTATTCTACATGTAATAAATACCTTATGAAGAAAAGGTTCAAATTTGTTAAGGTGATCACAACTGTAGCCAAGCTGCTCATCTAAATTTTGTTTTCTCTTTAGTAAGTACTATCTTGAACAAAACTATCACAGACATTTCTCTCCTCTTTCTCCGGGATGACTCGAAGAGGTTGTCTTGCACAAACATGTGCAAACCTGGACTGAGGAGAGCAGGGGAAAGAAGGACAAGAAGTGGTTCAAAAGGGAAACCAAAAGCCCCAGCATCTACCACCACCAACCTTGGAACAAAAGCTATCCATTTCTGGGCCGCTCCCCAGACCAGGGATTCCAAGGGATTCCAAGCATCTGATCAACATATACATACATATTTTTCTGAGATGCAGTTTCGCTCTTGTTCCCCAGGCTGGAGTGCAATGGCACAATCTAGGCTCATGGCAACCTCCGCCTCCCTGGGTTCAAGTGATTCTTCTGCCTCAGCCTCCAGAGTAGCTGGGATTATAGGAATGTGCCACCACGCCCAGCTAATTTTGTATTTTTAGTAGAAACAGGGTTTATCCATGCTGGCCAGGCTAGTCTCAAACTCCTGACCTCAGGTGATACACCCACCTCAGCCTCCCAGTGTTGGGATTGCAAGTGTCAGCCATGGCATCAATATTTTTAAAAAGCACTCCAGGTGATTTGAATGCAGAAGCTGCCACAATTGAGAACTACTCATCTAGGATGAGCAGGGAAGGTGACTGTCTTTATCAAGTGCCTACCGTGGGCTGTGTGCTATGCCACTCTTTATATATAGCACCTACAGCTGACAGTGCCCTTCCCACATCCCTTTAAGCCACCAGTCCCCAACCTTTTTGGTACCAGGGACCAGTTTTGTGAAAGACAATTTTTCCACAGACCAGGGATGGAGGATGGTTTTGGGATGATTCAAGCGCATTACATTTATTGTGCATTTTATTTCTATTATTATTATGCCGTAATATATGATGAAATAATTATACAACTCACCATAATGTAGAATCAGTGGCAGCCCTGAGCTTGTTTTTATGCAACTAGATCATCCCATCTGGGAGTGATGGGAGACAGTGAGAGATCATCAGGCATTAGATTCTCATAAGGAATGCACAACCTAGATCCCTCGCATGCACAGCTCACAATAGCGTTTGTGCTCCTCTGAGAATCTAATGCTGCTGCTGACCTGACAGGAGGCAGAGCTCAGATAGTCATGTGAGTGATGGGGAGCGGCTGTGAATACAGAGGAAGCCGCTTGCACAACCAATGCTCATCTTCTGCTGTAAGCAGTACTGGTCTAGTCTGTGGCCTGGGGGTTGGGAACCCCTGAGATTTTTTCTTGCCATGACCATGATGGCCCCTAGAGTAGCACTCAACCTTTTTTTTTTTTTTCCTGATACAAAGTCTTGCTCTGTCGCCCAGGCTGGTGTGCAGTGGTGTGGTATCAGCTCACTGCAATCGCCTCCCAGGTTCAAGCAATTCTCCTGCCTCAGCCTCCTGAGTTGCTGGGATTAGAGGTGCACACCACTCTGCCTGTCTAATTTTTCTATTTTTAGTAGAGACAGGTTTCGCTATGTTGGCCAGGCTGGTCTCAAATTCCTGACCCCAAGTGATTCTGCCTGCCTCAGTCTCCCAAAGTGCTGGGATTACAGGTGGGAGCCACCGTGCTCTGCCAGCACTTAACCTATAAGGGAGAGGAGATAAGGGTCAGATATCCCAGGCTCCTTACTCCTTGGGAGGAATAACTCTGAGTCATACTATAAACCTGGGATAAGGAAACCTTTTTTGTAAAAGGCCAAATACTCTGGGCTTTGTGAGCCATGTGGTCTCTGCTATAACTACTCAACTCTGCCTTTGTAGTGTGGGAGCAGTCATAAACAATGCCTAAATGAATGGGTGTGGCTGTGTTCTAATAAAACTTTATTTATAAAAACAGAGAGTAGCCTGGTATGGTGGCACATGCCTGTAGTCCCAATTACTTGGGAGACTGAGGCAGGAGAATCGCTTGGGCTCAGGAGTTCGAGTCCAGCCTGGGCAGCATAGCCAAACCCTGTTTTAGGTCTAAACAGATTCCCAGAATCCTCATTAAGAAAGAGTGACAAAGTTGAAACCTATCAAAAACACACCTTAAAAATACAGGTTTCTTCCTTTCCCATGCTTCCTGGGATCACTGGCTACAGAAATTACTTGCATTGTATGTGTGTATACATCCCTAAATAATATATACTACTACTTTGTGTGTTTCATAGTAATTACACAAATATCATTTGACATGTTAAAAAAAAAAAACTACTTGCACTGAAATCCTTGTCTCAGGACCTGCTTCTGAGAGCACCCAACTTACAATATTATTTCATTTTATCCTCATAGCCACTCTAACAGTTAACTAATAACATCTCTATCTTATAATAAGGAAACTGAGGCTCAAGGATTACACAACTCATAAGTGATAGAGCTCCTGTGAGACATCTATCTGGCTCCAAGGTCAGTGCTTTCTCCACAACACTCCCAGCGTCAGAATGGATATAAACAATACATGCACATGCACAAACACACACAAATACTTAAATATACAGCTTTAATTATGGCAAGCAAGAGTACCACATACAGCAAACCATAGAGCAGAATCATACTACTCATGTACTTACTGATCTGCTAAGGAAGCTCAAATAAATAGTTTAAGATAAATTAACAGTAAGGTTTGAGGGTTATAGGAAATATTTTATTCTGTTTTATGCTGTTTCTTATCTGAGACAGAATTCATGTCCTACCTACAATTGGTTGCAATCTTGGGAGGTAAAACCTTTGCTTATAACTGGGCACGTGTATCCCCATTCAAGGTAAAGCTCCATGTGTGACTTGGAATTTGGAGGGAAAGGAGCTAGATTAAAATATCTTCTAACATATTTAAACATGAGAGTGGGGAGGGAACATGTGTGAAATTCCCCTGTGGATACCAAGGATTCCAGAGAACACCCCAAAAACCCAGAACCAGCACATCCGCAAACCAGTGTTTCAGCTTACGCGGTCTTGCCCTCACTGTCGTGTTTGGTGGCACTGGCCCCCTTCTTGCCAAGCAGGGAGGCCACCTTCTCTGCGTCTCCATTCTCCACAGCTTGCAGCAGCCGGTCATCGTTCTTGTTCCACTCATTGGTCTGGAGAGAAAGAGAAGAAACAGAGGTCGTGAACAACATCAGCTACAGCCTCGCGGATCAGCAGGGCCACGGTCCTCACCGCCTTCCACCCTCCTGTTGCTCAAATTAAAACCTGCTCTCAAGTGAGTGTGTTTCTAAATACCTTCCCCTTCACCATGGAGACACCCAAGAATGCCACTTTCCCAAAAGAAAACATAAATAGTTCAATGAAATCACAGCCAATCACCAAACTCTGAGATAAAGTCACTTCTTTTAACTAACACTGGGAATATGAAGCAACTTTAAAAGACCTCAAGTCCGGTTTAACCATTAGCTAATTTCTAGCTGAACTGGACAGCTGTTCCTCAGCACGTTGGCCTTTGACCTCATCCACAGCTCACTCAGTCCACCGTGTTACAGAACAAAACCAGCAGCTCGAGGTTGCCGGAGGTGGACAGAGACACAATTCTTCATCTGTTTTTATGCCTCTCTTCCTGGTCCGTTTAACAGGCCCTGAATTTGGGGCTGGACACTGATTTTGGGCAGTTGTCCGAGCTACCAACTTAACAAAGTCTCACCAGAAACAAAACCTCTTCCTGAACAAGCTATGAAACATCAAAGAGCTTTGAGCAAAGCCTCGATCACCGTCAATGCCAAACCCCAACTGAATAATTCTGCAAACCACAGTAACAGTAAGGCACTCATGTGCAAAACTGTTTCTACACTTAGGAGGGGAAGAGATGATTTTTATAGAAGAGCAAATGGGTCCTGAATGTTAAGATTAAGAAAGACATGAAAGGCAGCAGTGAGCTGCTGAAGGTTTGGGAGCAGAGGAATGAGAGAATAATAGGGCCAGTGACTAAGGAGTCATTGGGAGGTGTGGAAGCCCACGGGACTGATGCAGGAGAGAGGGGATGAAGGGAAGACGCTGGGCACTTTCCAACCCCGGCTGCCTTCTAGTCGTCTCCCGCTTTCTGACCCCTTCAGCTGTGGACACCACACCCTGGGCGAGACTGCTTTTCCCTTCCCAAAGCTTTTTATAGACTCTGCTTCCTTGTGACCTCTGAAGAGATGAATCTCCAGGTATTTCGTATTAACGTCTTTACCATGGACCCCTACAAGGAAGCAGACAGAGAAGATACTGAAGATTTAAAAGCTAAAAAGAAGAAATTTCACAGGATGTCAGGCTTCCATGGCCCCAGGAGTGTGTCCCCAATCTCTATACTGATGAAAATGAGGAACCCAAACAGGAGTTTGTCCACCAAATGTCCCAGTCACTCTCCCAACCCTAGCCTCTATGCAGGGGCTTAAAGTCACAAGTCAGGGAGAGATAAAAGAGACATGCCCAGAATTTGCATCTCTGAACGTCTCAGGAATGAACCATTCTCAGTTTTGGTTTTTTTTTTTTTTTTTTTGAGACGGAGTCTTGCTCTGTCACCAGGCTGGAGTGCAGTGGCACAATCTCGGCTCACTGCAACCTCTGTCTCCCGGGTTCAAGTGATTCTCCTGCCTCAGCCTCCCAAGCAGCTGGGGCTATACGCATGTGCCACCATGCCTGACTAATTTTTGTATTTTTAGTAGAAACAGGGTTTTACCATGTTGGCCAGGCTGGTCTTGAACTCTTGATCTCAGGTGGTCTGCCCACCTTGGTTTCCCAAAGTGCTGGGATTACAGACGTGAGCCACTGTGCCCAGCCCCATTCCCAGTTTTTAGGACTCTGTCCTCCCCCCTCAGCCAACACTGAGTGCAGGTTTGAAAAAAATCAGGAGCTTGTTCTCTGGGCTGCATGAAATTGAAGTCCAGGCTCCAGATTGACACATGTAGTGTGACTTTAAGTCACCCATAAATCTTTCTGTGACTCAGTTTCCCCAGGCTTTGGACTGGATGTCCACTATGATTCCTCCAAAGCTCAAAATTCTTATTACATAAAATTCCCCAAATTCTGCTAGGGATTATTCTAGAACAATACTGTCTGCCATCATCGAAATGTTCTCTACCTGAGCTTTTGAATACGAAAGCCACAAAGCCAGTGAATCTTAATCAGGATTTGTTTTGCCCCTGTGGGATCATTTGGCAATCTTTGGAAACATTCTGGTTGTTATCTCTACAGAGCACTACTGGCATCGAGTAGGTGGAGGCCAGGTGTGCTGCTTAACGCCTACAATGCACAAATGCACTGGACAGGCCCCCTACCTCCACCAAGAATAATCTGGCCCAAAACGTCAATACTGCATGAGCCATTTGTGGCTACTGAGCACTGGAAATGTGGCTCGTGCTGCTGAAGAAGTGAATTTTTAACTTTGCGACTTCACGTGCCGTTAGCCAAGGACTACCACATAGAACAGTGCAGCTCTCCTTGACTTCATATGTGTAACAGAGTAAGAATGTATCTGGACCCATTCAGCCATGTTCCTAATACAGCAATTTACTCACAAAGAAGACATTAGATGTTGTCTTTAGTTACCAATCGAGCTTCCTATTGAGGGGAAACACAAGAATTATGGTGTTCCTCACACAATCATTAGTTAGTGGTGGAATAGAAAGCATAACTTAACTGTACAAACAACTGCAGCAAATGGACAAGCTCCAAGAAACACAGTGCAGCTTATTTTCCCCAGAGTGCATTTTACAAGCAAAGAAAAAAGGGAGGGAAAGTTTACCAAAGACCATTTAGGACCAATGATCCCTACCTATATAATCCTAAAAGAGGGAAGTATTGTTTTTCAAAATCCTTCTCTAACCTAAACTGAACAAATTAAAACTAGACTGGGAAGATCAAAAGGATATGAAATCTCAGAGGACAGGACTGAAAGTACTCAAGCAAAGGAACTGCCACATGAAAGGATTTTCATTTTCAACGTTGCTAAGGCACTCCACTCTCAAGTAGAGAAAAATGTGATTGCAGGGGTTCCCGGAAATTAGTCCCATGTGGATCTTTAGGGAGTTCAATTTCTATAAGACATGGTGGGAGAGATCCTTCCTATCCTACTCTTTGGAGGACAAGGTCAGTGCTACATTTCTAGTGATTTGAAATGCTTCTCTTCTACCTAGAGCCTCTCCTCAGTGCAGGCCAGAATTGACTTTTCCCTTGGAGCAGACAAAGAGAACAGGCAAATCTTCAATAAGTAATCCACAACACCATTCAATAAGTGCTGCAGATGGGGTTCACAGAAAGTAGACGCTAGGTTGGGAAAAGAGCAGAGAAGGTAAGAATTTTACTCCTGCTGGGGATGGTAGCTCATAACTGTAATGCCAGCCACTGGTGAGACCAAAGAAGGAGGACTGCTTGAGGAGTTTGAGACCACTCTGGGCAACACAGTGAGACGCCATCCCTAAAAATAAAGTATTTTTAAGAGTTTTACTCTTAAAATTCTCACAAGCATGCTAAAAGTGGCAGCCAAGAAGGGTCTCAATTAGACCTGTGATCCAGGAATCTAGATTCTGATCAGTAGCAGAATTGTCTAGTTCTGGGCCAGGCCACTAATTATACTTGCAATTAGCTCTGCTATGCACAACTGGCTACACCTTGCCCCTTCCAGAAGCACAGCACTCAAGATCCCATTCCTTTTCCTTCCTAAACTTGCCCATGGAGATACTTCCTTCATCCTCTCATCTTCTCCTATAAAACTACTCTAACTGGTTTCATATTCTTTTTTTTTTTTCCACCCGGGCTGGGATACAGTGGTGTGATCTTGGCTCACTGCAACCTCTGCCTCCCTGGTTCAAGCGACTCTCCTGCCTCAGCCTCCTGAGTAGCTGGGATTACAAGCATCTGCCATCATACCCAGCTAATATTTGTATTTTTAGTAGAGATGGGTTTTCACCATGTTGGCCAGGCTAGTCTCAAACTCCTGACCTCAAGTGATGCTCCCACCTTGGCCTCCCAAAGTGCTGGGATTACAGGTGTGTGAGCCACCGTGCCTGGCTCCAGTACCATATTCTATACAAAAATTCCCATAGCCACTCACAGCATGAGACAAAACAGATGTCTAATAAGCACTTTGAGTCACTGTTCTTTAGAATCCAGAACCAAATTCCTCTCCCCTACCCCCACCCCCAAGCATCAAAAGACATCTCAGAAAGTCACCTTGGTCACTCTACTGTCCAAAAGTAGAGCTGGTCAAATAAATAGGTGAAGTTTGAAATTTTATCATAACATCCCAAAGTAATTCATACTGTAGAATCAATGAAGGCTTCTGGAGACCACCATCAAACTAACAATATCACCTCTCACCACTTCCCATGAAAAGCCCCTCCTCTAACTAGCATGCCCTCCACAGGAAAGAGCTGACTGTGCCTCCACACTGGGCTTCTGGTCCTCTTATAGTTTTCAACTATATGAACACTATATGGCTTATCGGTTAACCTAACATGTTAAAAGAAAATTGAAAAATAGAAAACATCAGATGCACCACCTTTAATAAAGTTAAATGTCTTATGAAGCTTTTGTTTATTACATGTATGTGTATGCTGAAGGATGATATAAAATATATTTCTTGGCTGGGCACAGTGGCTCATGCCTGTGACCCCAGCTACTTGGGAGGCTGAGGTACGAGAATTGCTTGAACTCGGGAGGTGGGGGTTGCAGTGAACTGAGATTGCACAACTGCACTCCAGCCTGGGTGACAAAGTGAGACGTAAAAAAAAAAAAAAAAAAAAAACAACCATATATATATATCTCTATGTATTTTTTTAAAGAATATTTAATTTCTTCTTAAAAAGCATATATATATGTATATATATTTCTTACTGGAGGATCACAATAAGAGCACTAGCAGCCACTGCTTCAGAATGCTCTGTCATCCCATCCACCCGCGTGTTTCTAAAGCCTAGCTCAAGCCCTGCAGGCTCTCTCCACCCTTTCCTGGTGACCTCTCTCTGTTCCTCTACCCCAAGGCATCCCTGAGGGCCCACCCACTCACTCATCTCAACCAAAGCCCACGGTCTAGACTTGATGAAATATCGAATCCTGGTTTTAGTTTGAGAGCATACAGTTTGTCTGTCTTTAGCTCCCTGAAGGC